GCTACGTGACAAATAAGATCGTGTTTACTTGGCAAGTTGATTTCGGCAGAAGCGACAGTCATCAATACATTTGCAATTTTGCGAGAATTTCTTGTGGTTTTAGGCAAATGAAGTAAATTCTTTGGCTGTTTCATCGCAGCGACTTCATAGATCGGAAGGAAAATTAAATATTTGCACGGCAAGCAAAGAACTTCTCAGAACGTGTAAGGATTACGTCATTGGTAGGGAAATAACCACCGTACTAAAGATAGCCGTGCATAACGCAATTCTTCAATTATGTGACTTGTGTCACTCCTTTGCTAGCCATTTACTCAAGGGAAAAAACAATTTAATTTAATAGCGACTTTTAAGAAAGAAAGCTGTTGTTAATAGTGTTCGTATCTTCATGCCCATACATATCCCGAAGAAAGTTCCAGACTAAGACTATTACGTCATCGGAGATTTCACACCGATTACGACTGATGTTGCAATAATACAGTTTGTGTTGATCAAGTGCAGTGATGTCTACAGTAATCAATGAATCATCAAGGATTGCTTTGGAACGTGCACTGCGTTGCGACTGTAGTGCTAAGGAGATAATTAAATTTTAAAAGCGCGGTTATAAGATCTAACAGATCTTCTTGTTATTTTTTTTTTGTCGGTGACCAGACGAAGACCTCCGCTCGGCCAAATTTCGAGTTACGCAACGTGTGGTGTTTGGTCGCCAAAAGCTCTTGAAACATTAATACGCGGACAATTTTACGGATATTGTTTTCTTTGTTGTGGGTAAAATATATTTTCTTTTGGTTTTATCGAAGCCTTGGATTCAAACCGTATAATAAACACGCTAAAAAAAAAGTATTACGTCAGCCATGGAATGCGCTAACATTGCACCTTTCACTTTCCGTAGGTGACAAATAAGATCGTGTTTACTTTGCAAGGTTATTTCGGCAGAAGCGACGGTCATCAATTTATTTGAAGTTTCGCTGGTATTTCTTGTGGTTTTAGGCAAAGGAAGTAAATTCTTTGGCTGTTTCATCCCAGCGAGTTCATAGATCGGACGGAAAATTAAATATTTGCACGTCAAGCAAAGAACATGTCAGAACGTGAAAGGATTACGTCATTGGCAGGGAAATAACCACCGTACTAAAGATAACTGTGAATAACGTAATTCTCTAATTATGTGACTCGTGTGACCACTTTGCTAGCCTTTACTCATTGAAAAACCAATTAAATTTAATCCTGACTTTTAATAGTGTTATTATTGTTGCGTTCGTATCGTTCATGCCCATACATATCCCGAAGAAAGTTCCAGATTAAGAACACTACGTCATGGGAGATTTCCCAATGGCTACGAGTACGATTGATGGTGCAATAATACAGTTTCTGTTAATCAAGTGATGTGGTGTCTACAGTAATCAATGAATCATCAAGGACTGCTTTGGAATGTGCACTGCATTGCCACTGTAGTGCTAAGAACACAGTTAAATTTTAAAAGCGCGGTTATAAGATCTAACAGATCTTCTTATTTTTTTTTGTCGGTGACCAGACCCAAACTTCCTCTCGGCCAAATTTTGAGTCACGCAACGTGTGATGTTTATTCACTAAAACCTACAAATGTCCTGACTTCCATCTCCGAAAGATTTTGCCCCAATTTTGAGCAAATAACCATTTCGCCGACGGCAACCGCCATTACGGTGGCTAGCATACTAAATTAGCTAACTTGACAAAATTTTCCCGAGGGAGGATATGACGAAACGAGCTGAAAAAATGGCCTGTAATTGCCTAATGATAAGATCATCCCACTGTCCAAATTTGGTGCGAATCGAAAGTAACGCAAATTTTTTGTCACGTTTTCAATCTACGGTCCGGATAGAGTTAAGTGTTCGTATCTTCATGCCCATACATATCCCGAAGAAAGTTCCAAATTAGAACCATTACGTCATCGGAGACAACAGATACGACTGATGGTGCAATAATAGAGTTTGTGTTGATCAAGTGATGTGGTGTCTACAGTAAGAAAAGAATCATCAAGGACTGCTTTGGAATGCGCATTCCATTGCAACTGTAGCGCTACCAAAACAGTTAAATTTTACAAACGCGGTTATAACATCTGACAGATCTTCTTCTTAACCGCCCGGCCATGGGCCGAGCGCGGTTCATCGTTTACCCGTGGTTTATTTTATTTTTTTAAACCGCGCGGCCATGGGCCGAGCGCGGTTCATAATCTACCCTTGGTTTTTTATTATTAACAGCGCGGCCATGTGCCGAGCGCGGTTCTAGGTTTACCCGGGGTTTATTAGTTTTAACCGCGCGGCCATGGGCCGAGCGCGGTTCTAGGTTTACCCGTGGTTTATTATTTTTTTTTTT